GGGGCGTGGGACGCCGGCGGGCTCGGCCGGACTCTCGGGCGGGCAGGCGATGGGGGGCCCCGCTCCCACTGCCCCGGCCCCGCCCGGCCGCGCCCGCCCAGATTGGAGGCTGTGCGGAAGTGCGGGCTGCAGGCGCATCCTCGGGGCTGGAGCTCCCCGCGATCGCTCCGCAGCTGCCCGGGCGTGTGGTCTCGGGGGCCTGGGGGAATTGGGGCAGCGAATGGGGCAGAGGGAAGGTCGGCGGCGGCGGCGGCGGGTGCCAGGGTCAGCTGGGGCCGCTACGCGCGGCCTCGCATTGAGGCCGGTGCGCTCCTGTGATTGGTCGCCTTCCTAGAACAGCCTGAGGGCCTGGGAGGATTGAGCGGGGAAGCGCTGGACAGTCCCGCGAGGGCTGCGGTCAGTGGCCAGGCCTGTGCCCTGGGAGACTCCCCTGGAGCTCTGCATAGGCCAGGAGCCCATGCGTTTGCAGGCTAGTGGGCACCCTTGAGTCCTATTCGCAGATTTGGGGATCATGGGCACGAATCGACAGCATCAGGTCCGAGCCAGGGGGTCCCGAGGCCTTTAGATCCCATTGAGCCCACCTGTTGGTTCAGGACTGCTAGGCCACCCGGCCATGGAAACCAGGCAGCTGGTGCAGGAGGCGTTGTTCAGTCTCCAGCCTCAGAGGGGTGTGCCCAAGGTCTCCCTTCTGGTCTCCAGAGAGGAGGCCCCTGGTGCCCACTCATTGCTGTGTCTGTGTGAGTGGGGCTTTGCACTGCTCTCCCGCTCCTAATGTAACTACCCTGAGGTGAGCAGGGTGGAAATGTAGTGGATATACATGTCCTGCCCCCGGTTCCAAGCTAGCCCCCTCTTCAGGAAGTGTCTGTTCCTCAGGACTGCTCTGGCATGCATGAGGACCCACCTGTCTGCTGGAGAAAGGGTCTGAGGGGCTTCTGTACGGGCTCAGATGACCAGCATGTTTGCTGACTAGGGGTACAGAGGGGCTGGAGGGCAGCGCAGACTCTACAGCCGCTGCCCATCCCCAGGCATTGCAGAGCAAGCAGTGAGCATGGCGGAGCAGGAGCCCACCGCAGAGCAGCTGGCCCAGATTGCAGCCGAGAATGAGGAGGACGAACACTCGGTCAACTACAAGCCGCCCGCACAGAAGAGCATCCAGGAGATCCAGGAGCTGGACAAGGACGACGAGAGCCTGCGCAAGTACAAGGAGGCCCTGCTGGGCCGTGTGGCCGTCTCTGCTGGTGAGCCCGCTCGGGGGGCCCTGCTCCTTCTGGCTGCCTCTCCTCGGTACCGGGCACCTCACTTCCCAAGCTCCTTCATGTCCCTGTTGGGCCATTGTGCTCTCTAGATCCTGCTCTTTGGGGTCTATGCCCCCCCTCAGCACCCCACCTCTCTCAGGCATCCTGTATATCTAGGCGTCCATTCTCTGGACCTGCGCCTTATATGCACCACTTCCCATGTACTGCTTCTTCTCTAGACCTCTACTCCTAGGCATTCCATTCCCCAGGAACCCACTTCCCCAAGCCCCCGCTTCTAGGCACTACATTCTCTGGGGACCCCATTCTCCTGGTGACTCCTGCCTGGCCCTGAGGGTCAGCACAGCCTGGGACTCTGACCTTTTGTGTGTTCCCAGACCCCAACGTCCCTAATGTTGTTGTGACTCGCTTGACCCTGGTGTGCAGCAGTGCCCCTGGTCCCCTGGAGCTGGACCTGACTGGTGAGTGACCATGGGTCCCTGGGTGGGGCTGGCTTTCCCTGCTGCTTCCTTGTGCACTGGTGCCCCCTGGTGGGTGCACTCGCCACCGCGGTCCGACCTGGACCTGGACAGGGCTCTGTGTGGTCCTCGCTGTGGTCAGCATGCTGTGGAGGAAAGGGTCAGAGCAGGTGAGTGGCCTGCCTTAGCCCCAGCGCAACAAGCTCTCTGTCCACAGGCGACCTGGAGAGCTTCAAGAAGCAGTCGTTTGTGCTGAAGGAGGCCGTGGAATACAGGATAAAGATCTCCTTCCGGGTGAGACTGGAGGGACTGAGCAGCCGCTGGGACTGGGATGAGTGGATGACTGCTTACCGGGAGGGGTGGGCAGAACTGGGGCTGGCTACCTGCTGTGGGGCGGGGCTGGGCCAGCGCAAGGGGCTGAGCAGCCTCTGTCCCCAGGTCAACAAAGAGATCGTGTCCGGCATGAAGTACATCCAGCATACCTACCGGAAGGGTGTCAAGAGTGAGTGCTCTGTGCTGGGGCTGCCCTCGGGAGGCTCTTGGGCGGTGGTCAGCGCTGACCTGCATCCCTGTTGGCAGTTGACAAGACCGAGTACATGGTGGGCAGCTACGGGCCTCGGGCGGAGGAGTATGAGTTCCTGACACCCATGGAGGAAGCACCCAAGGGCATGCTGGCCAGGGGCAGCTACAACATCAAGTCCCGCTTCACTGACGACGACAAGACTGACCATCTGTCCTGGGAGTGGAACCTCACCATCAAAAAGGAGTGGAAGGACTGAGTCCCGGTGGGAGGGACTGACGGACGTGCCCCCCCTTCCTCCCACCCCCAGACCAAAGTGCTGACAGGTTCCCCTCCCGGCTTCCCAGCCTGTCCTCCCCTCCCTCTGCAGGCCCTGGCCCCGGCCTCCCCGCTGGGCCTCCCCAACCTCTGCAGGCTCCGGCCCGGCCTCCCTGCCAGGCCTCTTCGCGCACCATCCGTTCCCTCCACAGGCCCCGGCCTCGGCCTCCCCCATCAGGCCATCCTGGCCTTGGCCTCCCCGACCTCTGCAGGCCCCAGCCTCTCTTCAGGCCCCGGCCCCGCTGTGGTCTCCGTGGTCAGTGTGTTGTTGCTGCTTTTGCCTGAGCTGTCCCCAGATTCCCGCCAGCCTCCCGGCCAGAGAGGGGTACAGCTCGGGGGATCCTGCTGCTGGCCCCGCCTGTCCCCTGGCCTTGGGCCTGCCAGTCACCGTGTAACCATGATGCCTTAACATGTGGAGTGTGTGCGGGGCCTTTGCCAACCTCACCCCGGTGTCTGCATGAGCATGTCCCCGTCCTGTTTGTGACCTCGATGCCTAGAGGTGTCGGGTGCTGCTCTCCGCCTGTCAGGGCTGCGGGGACGGCTCCGTGGCTCGGGGATGCCAACTTGCCAAAACTTGGGTCTCCCAGGAGGGCTGGTGGCCTCTCCTTGACCACCCCTCGTGCTCACCCACCGCACCACAGAGCCCTTGGACAAAGCCGCGGCCTCGCCTTACCTGGCCCATCTGGCCTGGCCAGAGCCGTGTGCCTGGCTGTCAGTATTTATTGCCTCCATTTGTGTCGTCCGCTGGGCCCGCCCCAGCCTGCCCTCTGCCGCCTCCATCCGGCTCTCAGTGCTACCACCCTCGGGCAGGCCCCTCCCCAGGACCCAGCTAGGACAGACAGGGACCAAGCACGGAGTTGGGAGCCGTCTCCTGTGCCCCCACCCCCCACCCTCACCCCCTGCCCGGTCGTGGTGTTGTGTCTGCTGGGCCCTTGGCCTCTGAGACCACAGAGGGCCCCTCCCTGCTTCCCTCTCTGACTGGGAATAAATTCCCCCAAAGAAACCGGTGTCCAAACTTCCTGTCCACTTAAGGGAAGAGGTCCACAGTGCCCCCTGCTGGCCGTGAGCCCTAGGTGCAGTCTGTCTGACTCAGCGCACGATCCTCTGGTGGCCTGAGCTCTTCATTTGACTGGTACTTTCCATTGGTCACTTGTCACACCATCCAGGTGCTGAAGGCCTTAGGGGACAGGGTAACTAGAACATTCCACCCTTGCAGTACTGGATGGAACTGTTGTATACTGTGGAGGGCTGGGGTCATGGCTGTTCCAGAGCCCAAGTGCTGGACTGGGCGTGAGGCCATGATGTTCCCAGGTCAAGCTACTTGTCTCATCCAGAAGACAACAGGCCACTGTTAAGCAAACTGCGTTTGAGTTCTGCTTCCAGGACCTGCCCTGGCCTTGCTCAGCCGGTCAGGTTCCCCTACCCTGCCCCTGCTGGCCAAGGTGGGTGCTGCACACAGCCCTAGCAGTAGAATGTGGACCTACACTGCAAACAACTAGGAGACCAATGGAGCAGCGTCCCATGCCGGGGGCTCAGATGGCCATTGGGTCTGCTGGGTGTCGGGAAATATCTGAGGCTGGGAGCATCCAAAACTGCATTGTAGAACCAGCATGATTCCTGGACCTGGCTGGAGAGGGACAATACCAGGCTCAAGGGGAAACAGGTGGGCTACTGCACTGCGCTGAACAGGAGCCACTGGGGACACCGGTCCTATTAGCCGGAGAGCAGTGGACCCAGCCTGCCACCATGTTGAGGCCTGGCACGCTCTCAGGCACTGGACTCCCAGCCTGCCCACATCCTTTTAGAAGGCTGCCCTTTGGTATTGAAGGGAGGGAGGTTGTACTGGTCCAGAAGTTGGCAGAATACCCATTATGTGGCATGGTAGCTGTCCACGTAAAGGTGAACACCTCAGGAACCTGGGGGGCAGTTCTCCAACTGGGCAACTTGATGGCAGCTGGTGGCATGCCAGCTGTTTAGAAAGTTGTGGTTTTATGCATGAGTGTCCTAAAAGGCTGCAAATGAAGGTGAGGGGGCAGCTTGGCTACAGGCCTGGTCACATATGCCAGGACCAGCCAGTGAGCCGCCTCAGGTCTGAGAACACCTGTGCTCAGCTGTTCCCTGTGGACCTAGAGACCGAGGGCCCCACAGAGGTTACCTAGCACCATTGCTCTACGGACCTGAAGGTAGAGACAAGAGACTTTGCTGCCCCAAGATAATGTGGCTCACAGTCCCAGCAAGGGAATCACCCCAGCACAGGCATTGACCCAGTTCAGGTCCTGATTGGTTCTGCTGGCCCTTTCAGCCTGGTATCAGCCTCCCTAATTGGATGTGTTTCCTGGGTGGGGCCCTCAACTGGGTCAACAGGGCCTGGAATTTCACTCAGGTGTCTTCAGATTCAAGGAGACTGAACTTTCGAGTGCCAGGCTGTATGGGCACCTGGCCAAGAGCCAGGACTTTGTCCCGGCCTCGCCCTTGGCACCTGAGCACTACATGACGTGTCCCTGGTCTGAAGTTCAGCCTGTCCCGCCCAGCCTGGGGACTGCATGGCCTCTAGTTAGCCATCTGCCCCCTCCATCCTCAGTCCCCTGCTCCCACCAGTCCAGCTGCACTTGGCTGCTTTGCACCTCCCTCATTCCTCTAGTCCAGGTCACAACATGAGTAAATTTGGAGCCTGTGAGCAGGGCTGTCCTCCAGGCCCAGTGCCACCTGTCTCCCCAGACAATCCCCTCCCTGCTATGTGCAGGCTGAGCTGGCATCATGTCGCTCAGGCCCACCTGGCCAGGCAACGGTTTTATTTCTCCTGGGCAACTTCAAGCTTGGGACACCTGGGCAGCCAAAACCTTGTGGTCAGTTGTAGGGCCAGCATCCTGAGGGACAGCTAGGAACAGGGACCGACCACAGAAAAGGACTCCCTGCTGGGTCTCAGCAAAGCTACTGTGTCCACACAGCAGGTGTAGGATCTGACCAAGAGGTGACATCCAGACCTACCACCAGTGCCAGCTCAGAGGCCACCAGATCACTCAGGCTGCAGACTTCCACCCACAGCCCTGCCTGGAGGTGCTCCCTACCCCCCATTACCAGGCTATCACATTCCCCTTGCCTGCCAACTATCTAGAGGTGCCCCCCCCCCCCCGAGCTCAGGCATGTTCCCTCATCTTACTGTCTAGCTGGTGCCCCAGACTCTCATAACAATGGCTCAGTCACACCCCTCACCACTGTCACCTGCTTGGAGATGCTCCCCATGATCACACCCCGCATCCCTGACTACCACCTGCCAGCAAGTGTGCCAACCTAGATCCCTGGCCAGTCTGTGTCTGATGCCCTTCCTCAGTGCTGACTGACCTGAACATTCTTCTTTTTCACGTGCCTCACTGTGCTGTTCAGGGCCAAACTGAGCCCACCGCCCTTAGTTCAATTCCCACTCTGACCTTCCATCAGATCAGCACAACAGCTGCTGGATTCGGACTGCTGACCACCAAGTCATAGCCAGCTATGTCAATGGAGCTCCTTGCTCTGGGGCCAAGCTGCCTGCAAACCATCTTGACCAGGGACCAGACTCCTCTACTCTGTCGCTACCAGCCAACACATGCCAGCCCCACCTTCCGGCACCTCCACCAGCTTCTCAAGGTGGCACACCCATTGTTCCTGCCGTTGTCTCACACTGGGACTTGCAAATAGGGGTGTGACATAACAGGAACATTGGGAGAAAGGCAAGGGGCAGCAATCCTGGCTATCTTCAGAGGAACTCACGCTCAAAACACTGGCCACCAAGACTGGACCCTGAGTACCCCTGCCAGGACCCAAGACTGACTCTACCCTGAGGTCCAGCTCCTGTCACTTCACAAGGTGAAGTAGACTGGTCACCTGAGCAGGCTCAACCAACACCGGACGGATGCCTGCCCTCCTGGTCCTGGGGGTTGTGAGGACAGGATACGGTTAATCCAATCTCAGTGGGGAAGTCCTACATGGCAAAGCCAAGCCAGCTTGCTTAGGAGGCAGCATACCAACAGCCGTTCTTATCCCTTCTCAATCAGCATCATTTAAACAAGTACATGGAATGTGGGAGGGTGCCCCTTTTCTTTGCCAAGCAGAGCCTAAAACTCCACAGCATTTCATCATCATCAAGGCAAGTGCACAGGAGGGGGAAGCTCAGGGTAGGTAGGCAGGGCAGTGGAGGCAGAAGGCTTTAAACCAACCCTCAGCAGTAATAGAGCCTCGCCTGTAAATTAAGACTGTTAGAAATAGTGAAGCTTATGTGTTTAACTCAGTATATACAAAGTATCATTTTGGCGGGGTATTAAGTTGAACACACTGTTTTATATCCTTTCTCTTGCGCTCAAACTCATTCACATGCGATTCACCTCCCTAGCTGCGTGGGGCCGCCCCCAGCACACCTGACACACCTGAAAACCTCGCGGGGAACGAACGCTACCTAAGATTTGGCGAGGAGGGAGGTAAAGGGGGCCGGCGGCTCCCCGGAGGCCTTTGATCTCAGCTCCCACGAACTCAGCACAGCTGATGGACCCCGCAAGAGGGCCTTTCGAGCTCTGTGGTTCCGGCTTGGGCACTGGCAGGCGTTGGTATAGTGCTTGCCAGGTTTGACAGCCTCAGCCTGCCTCCACATCCAGCCCGGTCGAGGCGGCCTCAGACGGTGCAGGCGGGTTATGGGCTCTGCAAACTTGACATGTCTCGGGAGATTAGTCTGGCGACCTAGCTCCAAAAACATCAGCCTGGAAAATCCTTCGATACACAGACCTATTGACATCTCGGGTCACAGTGAGTCAGAATGCACTACGCAACACTTGGCTGAAAGGGCCATTTCCAGGTCCAGACACGATGGCACCTCCCCAGTGGCTTCCCGGCTGGCCCATTCTCCCCGCGCTCTAGCGGAGATCCTGGAGGTCGAGCGGCCGTTTTGCGGACGGACAGCGCGTCCCAAACCCCTCGCAAAACCCGCTGGACCAGCAGCCACACCTCCGAGCCAGGGGAGTGACTCTCCCCAAGGAGGAGCAGCACGAGCTACACGCTCCCGGAAGTTGCTTCATTCCACCTTCCGGCCCGTAGGTGGGGGGCGGTACCAGTTACGAATACGCGGTCCAGTAAGAATCCAACACGAGGGGCTTCAGAGACGCAGGCGCAGCCCCGCCTTCCGACAGCGGTTCCGCCCCACTGCCACGTTCGATGGAGGGACGCGCATGTCTTGGCCAATCAGAAGCTGGGGATCTCGGGCCTCAAAGGACGCAGCCATTCGCGACGGGCGGAAGGAGTGGAAGAAAGCCGCCAGTCAGAAGTCGCAGGAGAGAAAGTTCTCCGCTGGAAGCCAATGAGAGGCCGGGGAAAAGCCCCAGGGTGAGTTCTTTAGCCAATCCTGGGAGTAGGTGAGGGCCGCCGCCGAAGCGATTCCGAATACGGAGCCGGGCCTCGTGTGGGCACCCAATCCGAGTACGGCAAAGGCGGGCCCCTGACTGTGCCGGCCAATGGAAGGCGCTCGGCGAGCGCGTGCGCGTGGCGGCGGCGCGTGCAGGGGGCGGTAGCGCGCCCGCGGGCCGGATGTATAAAGGCGAGGCCGGGCGGGCGCGCGCTCTGCTCCTCCGTCCCAGCGGCGCCAACCGAAGCGCCCGCCTGCGTCGACATGCTGCGCCGCGCTCTGCTCTGCCTGGCCCTGGCCGTGCTGGCCGGCGTCCGCGCCGACGCCCCCGAGGAGGAGGACCACGTCCTGGTTCTGAAGAAGAGCAACTTCGAGGAGGCGCTGGCTGCACACAAGTACCTGCTGGTGGAGTTCTGTGAGTGCAGTGGGCCGGACCTGTCCCTGCCCTGACCCCAGGCCCCAGCCCGGACGTGGCCCTGCCCTGACCACCTGGCTCCCGGGGCCGGGCGTTGTGTCCCGGGCTGTGCCGCGGTTCTCGCCCCTGCCCTGATCAGGCCCCTGGCCGGCCTCCCTCTTTGCCTGCCCGCTGCTGGGAGGTGTGGTCGGGACTGAGCTGCCCAGGAGGGGCCAGTGCGGGAGCCCTGACCCTGGAGAGGGGCCAATAATGAGGGAGCCCCGACCCCGGAGAGGGGTCAGTAGTGGGGGAGCCC